CAAATATCGGAGGAGCTGCACAGGTTAGTACCTTATCAACCCGGCATCGGTACCAGTTGACTGCTTCTTGGCTTTCGAACGCATAACAATTTCAATCTTTTTTAAAACTTTTATTACAATTTTTTTATGATCGCTAGAACTTTTTTTTATTGGAGAATTGTTCCTGAACGTTACATAAGTACCTATTCTAGTACGTTCACCTACTTGGTTTTACTTTTGAAAACTAGAATAATGTAAGATGTCATCATGTTAACCAGCTAATTTTTTTCTGTCTGGAGTTTTATTTATTCCTATTTTCAAATCTAAGCTAGTTTAGATAGCTTATACTTGCTTTATTCTTTATTAAACTACCTCACCCAATTCCAAAGATTGTCCTTGAGCCTCATTGATTTGGAATTGTCACTCTTTCAAATTGAAATGGTGTATCCGTCGGGATCATGAGAATTCGAGGAGTGAGTACCTCTCCACCTTTGAAAGGCACCGGTAAAATCGTTGCTTCCACTTCGTTGTTTATCAATTTCTTAACTGTGAGTCGCATACCGTTGCAGAGTTTTGGCTGATTAACATTACGCAGCATGATAATTGGCACGCCTATTTTCAATTTTAATATGTGTGGTGGCATTCCTGGCACATCGAGTGAGTTCAAAAATTCTGTTGGATGTTGAACTTAACTGCTTCAAAACGGTATTATATCGATCTATATGTGATTTCCTCACTCTGAACTTTGGGGACACAGTACAAGTACCTCGATTAAGGTGAATATTTCATTCAAATTGTATAACAATCTGAATGGGATAACTGCGGTTGTCGTTGGCTGGTTCCCCTTGCTTCCGGCAGATGGCGCGGTTGCTGGTATCCAGCTGATCGTTAAAAAAGTTGTTTTCTCGCGCTCCCGGCTATGTAACTGAAGCGAAGGATAGATAAAAATAATCCTAGAAACGGAATATATATTGTATGAAAATTTAACTCAATCAGTGCAGAACTTTTCGAGTTTTTGAAGCGTATACAAAAACCAAACCATTTTTATATTGTAAAGATAAAATAAAAGTAACGATATGTTGAGGTGAGTGAACAGCTCGCAGCATCGTCTAATTTAAGTCTATTGTGTTTCACGCATAGACGATGTTTCATCGAATAGTTCTGGCTTTCCACTAAAAAAAAAAGCTCAACGGGATACTGGGGCCACAGAATATATCGTAAGCCAGCCTGATAGATATCTGAACAAGAATTCCAACCACTTCCTCAGTGGGTAAAAAGGAATTCAAACTGCTAGAAGATATTGGTTCGCTCCAATTTCGATCGATGTCTGGTTTTTGCAATGGCCGGATATATCATAATATTGTATTACGCTATCTCTTCCTCCTGTATGCTTTGTATTAATCAAGTCATCGCTTTTGCTGAATCCTACTGTATATTCATGTGTGCGATTAATTGGCAGCCACCGCAATAAAAATCTACCATGTTTCTGCAACTGTTGCCGACTGAGTTCCAGTAGCTGGTTTGCTCCTAACGTCGTAGATTGGCAGATAAATGCCATCGAGTCCACCAACCCTGGAAAATTCCTCAGTCATTAGTCTGTTACTCTCATCCAGGGCATGTTGCCAGTTCTAAACCAGCTTGGATTAGCAGCGGTTGGAGCCAAAGCCTTAATAGCTATCTAAGAATAAAAGAGATTGATTTAGCCGATACTTGATGGAAATCCATTACAATTTTATATTAACATCACATTTTTGTTTCCTTTCAAAATATCTAAGAATATTTTGATCTACTTGTCTTTCTGATGCGTGTGTCAGAGACTTCGAGCACAAAATGCCATCCGCTGTCTAAAAGAATAGCTTCTGTACACACAGTGTACTACACATTAGATAACTAACTGTCTCCTGAAATTTGACTTACTACGTCAAATCAAGGGGGGGGGGGGTAATGTCCCCACTGTTGTGATCATTGATAGTAGATGAACTTCTCAACGCGCTAAGCGCCCAAGGGATCACAGTCTTAGGATATGCTGACGACCTCACAGTCGTCATCAGAGGTAAGCATGATAGGATCATTAGTGATCTCATGCAAAATGCCCTAAATGTCATTATCAGCTGGTGTCTACAGGAGGGGTTTAAGCGTCAACCCCAACAAACCCATAATTGTACTTTTTACAAGGAAAAGGAGGCTAAATCTAACAGTCCCAACCTTGAATGGGATACAAATCAATATCGCATGTAAGGTCAAATACCTGGGAGTCACTTTGGATCAGAAACTCACTTGGAACCAACATCTCAAAAGAGTAACCGACCGGGCAATAGCCACGTACTGGACATGACTTGGGGTGATCTATTGGTTATTTACAATGGTTATAGGACCCATGGTCACCTACGCTGCAATAGTGAGGTGGCCAAAAGTAAATCAACAGACAGCGTAAAATCGATCGGCAACTGTACAAAGGTATGCATGTCTTGGAATTACAAGAGCGATGAACACCTGTCCAACCGCTGCAATGGAGGTCATGTTGGGCCTCCCCTCACTAGATATAATGGTGAAAAAAGAGGCCTACATAAGAGCCTCAAGAATAGCAAAATCCCTAAAACTAAAGGAAGGGGACTTTGTCGGCCACATGAGCATTATGAAAGAATGCATAAGTGTGACCACAAAACCAGTTGACCACATGCAACAGAGGTACGAATTTGAACAATCCTTCAAAGTGACTCTTGAGGGCCGCAAGGATCGTACCTGTATTCCCGAACGGGTCATCTGTCTGGTATACAGACGGATCGAAAACAGAGCAAGGGACTGGAGCAGGATAATACGGCCCCTTTTGTAGGCTCTCAACAGCCCTAGGAGAAAGCCCAACCATATTTCAAGCGGAAATATTTGCAATAGAACTTTGCGCTAGAAAGAGTCTCGAAAGAGACCTGCGAAGAACAAGGATCTACATCAATTCCCATAGTCAGGCAGCACTAAGAGCTCTAAGCAAGTCTGTCACAAAGTCCAGACTGATATGGGACTGCCAACAATTCCTGAAGCTGGCGTCCCGCAACAGGGTCAGCCTGTCATGGGTACCAGGGCACCAAGGAATCGAGGGGAATGAAATTGCGGACCAATTTGCAAGACAAGGAGCTGCAACACCATTCCTTGGACCAGAACCTTTCTTTCGCATTACGAAAAGCTATATAATAGGAGAAGTCCAAAATTGGATAAAGGCTCAACAAGCCTCCCGCTTGAACACGCTTCCCAGGACTGGCAGGCGAAACAACTCATCTCGCCTCAGTCAATAAAGGCAAAGGAACTGATTGACCTTAGTAAAGCGGATTTAAGGCTGCTAAGGGGTTACTGCCCTCTGGGTTACTACCTGAAAAAAAATGGGCAAAACAGAATCAGACCTTATGGCGCTTCTGTGAAGAAGACTTTGAGTCTGCGGAACGTCATACTTTGCAATTGCGAGGCATTGTGCCGCAGAAGACTCATCCATCTGGAGCATCTATATTTAAGTGCTGCAGATGTGAGGAATGCCAATCTCAGGAGCATTATCGGCTTTGCCGAAAGCCTTAATCTGGGAACCTGCTAGATATAAGGGGAAGCATCAGTAGGTCGCAGAGAGGTCCTTAACCTAAACACCCCACCATAACAATCTACAATCTAGTAGGTCAAATAAATCTTTTCTGATAGGAATCCAATATCCAACATACTATAACAAGGCGTTTGCTATGTTTGTTAGTCAAAACTTTAAACAAAGGATCCAACATAGGTGTATTACCAAGGACTCTTACGTTGGGGGTTGTAGAATAAAAATACCTAAACTTGCCGCTCGAGGAGTGATTTCTAGCGGCTCAAGTGAATCTTCATGAAAATTAACCCAAAAAATACAAAAAATGACATGAAAGTTGCATCGTTTTAAAACACCAATTATTATAAATCGATCATATGAACATTTTATTGATTTATCAATTCGATCTAGAATAAAACCGACCGTTTTAAGTTAAACCGCCAACAATGCTATAATAGGTAATACAACATTGTTTTGAAAAGCAATACCAGAACAATCGGATTTGAAATGGCCGACTGGTCTTCTATTACCTATGTAGTAAAATCTCGAGATGTAGTCATTTATCACTAAGGTTGTTAAAGCTCCTTGTCACTTATAAAAAGACGTAAACCGGTTCAAAACGATATAACTAAGTAAAATATATATTAAATTAAATTTGCCATAGCTTAAACGAATTAGGCATAGCTTCTGGCTATAGCCGACTAGTTAAGAGATACCTCAAAGGAGCCAACCTATATATGGTATGCGCTTAATACTCGTTTTGTTTTCCTGCTTTTTCATTTATGAAAATGCCATGTTACTTGTCTTTTATTGAACTTCGTGTGTTTACTTAACATACTTATAAGTAAGTCGATTTTAATATGGTGCTTTTATTTTTTAACGTATCTATAACCATATGTTAAGTTGACATGTTAAGGATATTTTATTATTGAAGTTATTGATGGACCAATAATAATTGCCTCGTGGATGGACAAATACTTAGAGGCGACAGCAAATTTTTTTTGAAAATCATTTATTACAAAATGATTATGCAAATAACGGATTTGTTACAAGAGTGATGGTGATGTTAACAATTACCCAACAATCAAATTTAATGGAAAAATAAGAGAGATAGATGATCGAGAAACACATATTCTTATAAATATGTATAAATCATATAGTGTCACACGTTGGCGTTGCCTAATTTACGTTCTTCTTCTTTCATTTTTTCAACCTGTAGTCAATCTAAAGCTTCTAATTTCATGCAAAAAGCATTGCAAAATCAATATTGAAATAAATTTTAATTATTTTCAAATTGTGGCGCCAAAAGTCGAATCGAAAGCTCTTGGCAACATTGGTACGCACTGACCAGTTTACGGTCTCATTATACTCTCTTAATACTGCACAGCAACACTTAAAATGTCTTGAATGATAGCACTAATTTAACATAATTTATTAAAATACTATTTCTTTTCATTTGTTACAGTGGGTCCTTTGTTTGGTGCAAGCTTTGGAACTAATGGGCCGTACGCATTTTCGGTTCCAGGATTACCTCCAGCTGCACATGCTCTCGCTAAATCTGGATTTCTTTTTGACCATGGTAAGTAAATTATTTAAAATTCTGACTAAGTAACAATATCTACAAATATGGAATATGGAATGAATAAAATAGAGAGTGAAATGTATGTCCTATAACTAGAATAGATAGAAATACATTAATAGGACATCTAGCAATAATTTAATTTATTACATATAGCTGACTTTTAAATGTCAAATAAATGTCACGTGCGAAGGAATGGCTTTGCCAAATTGCTTTGAGAGCAGGACAGAGCTTTTGATCGTTGAAACGCATCTAAAGGGGCCGATGCCGTTGGTGTGTATGCGCCTAGCTCTCCCTCGATTTGCAGCAAAAACTCTGATACCAACATAATTAAAGTACAAGCAGTGTAATTTAACTTAATTAAATTCCCTTTTTCAACGGACTCTTGGTGTCAGCCTGAGCGTCAAACGGCACTCGAAAAAATCAAAGGCGTGCTTTTTTCACTTTTCTAAATTTCCTTGAAGCAATCTGTTTTAGCGCACAGTTTTATTGAAGAAAAAAAAACCTATATTTATAGGTTATAATTATCATAATATTATGAATGATACCTATACCTACTAATGAAATATTCATTAGAATCACTTTCTACTTTTATAGACAAATTTGGAATTAAGCGGCATTGCATTAAACAATTAAGTTACAAATGACAGTAAGAAATATCTTTTTTAATAAGACTGAAGTTATTTTTCTCAAAACCTACTTAATTGTAGTTGTGAAAATTATTTTTTTGAATACCCTATATAAAGGTTTACTTGGTTGTAATTAAAAAATTCCCACCCGAGAAATCAACTTAATCTTTGATACGTCACTGTGAAACGAAATAAGCTCCCTTAAAAGGGGACGATACAAACTTTTTACTTTTTTCCACCGGTTGAACATTAAAACGCGGCATTTAATTTCATCAGAGATCTAAGAAGAGATTTTTGAACATAAAAAGAACAGAAGAAACACCGAGCTGCCATTCAGTTGTACATTTCGCAATGAAATTTTTGCTATCGTTATATAGTTTTATTGGTTTTTTATAATTATCAAGAATTAGAAAATTGGGTAGCCCATCATTGTTGTAAACTACTGAACAGAAATTTAATTAATAATAATTTGAATTGTCATTGCTATGCTAGCAAATAAGCTTGAGGATACGTTAGTTGTATTTTGCTTTGAAAATCAAATTATAGACTTTTAGATAAAACATTGACACATTGACCCCAAGTAACATTTTCCCGTCTTCCAACGTTATCTGCACCTATTTCAACGTCAGAATAGGCAGTACAAAGTCGGCACGGCACAATGATGCTTCGACCACGCAAGCCGCCTACGAAAATTAAAGTAGCTTACGAGTAATTTGCCAACGTTGGCGTGACGTCCTTTCTCGACTAATATTTAAAGATATCTTTGGACGTGGCTACAACGTCGCCATATAACCTATTATGGCTGGGTAAGCTTTGGTATAGTAGGCAACGTTGCACTGACGTTGTCATTCGACTAAATTTAAATAGGCGGCACTAAGTTTTCCTCCAGCGTTGGTTCGGCGTCGGTAAATTTACCATTGATTAAACTCTAACAATGAACACAAAATAACATAACCCAACTTTTTTTGGGGAGTAAATCGGATCAGTGTTTCCAAAAAAACCTACTGTGTGTCTGATATTTGACACAATAAAAGCCTGAGTTCCATATCAACTTTTTTCCATTGGTCGTAATCGACATTAACTGTTAGTATCGATCAATAGAAACTTTATTTACATATCTATAAATTACAAGATTTACGCATCATCCGTAAAAGGTAGGCTCGATGTCGCGATTATTTTTATGAACAGATTCCGTATAAAAGAATCTATATATTGCGACTAAAGGTCGCCGCAGGTGAAAACTAGGGATTATTTATCTGAACAAAGATTGGGCATAGTCAGTTTTCGTGCAATTTTTGTCGCTTTCGACGTCAACTGTTTCGGGCGTTTCGGCCATTTTTGGGTTTGACCGACGATGGCCGTTATTGTTGCTGTTTCAGATTAATTTTAACTTTACAGTGAACATCGGCAAGATTAGTCCTTCATAAGTGTGTTTTTCACAATTATTCATCAAATAGATGCCTCACAAGTATCTTTGAACCCATATTAAACAAAAAATTTAAATTGGAAAATTAAACAAAAACCGATATTTTTCTAAATTTTACTGATTTTTAGTCCTACTTTAGTTGTTTTTATCAACAAAGTCACCTGCGTGCATGAATTTTGCCCAGAGGAACTTCTGAAATGCACTAAAAAGTTGCATGAACCTAGATATGTATCACAACGGAATAAAATAATTGACGTCATTTTGTTTCCAAAATAATATATCAACATTTGGTAGAAAATAGGGTAAGATATTTAGACCAATTTTTAAATAGTACAGTTTAGGTATAAATTATTAGATCGTCCCGACTTTTCAAGTCGGAAATGGTATTGCATTCCCAACGTCAGATTACGTAGTCGAATTTTGGTCGTCAGAAAGTCCTACGGACGTCGCATGGCGACGTCATGTAGAACATTTTTAATGTAATATTACGTCAAATGACGTCGGCGTGTTATTTGATTGCTAGGAGTAGTAGCTAACATTTATAGCTACTTTCAAAGTGGCACAAACAACCGTGTAGAGACTAAAATCAAAAACAGACAAAAATCATGACTTTTTAGGGTTTTTAATTTTTGTCGATTGCTAGGAATGGTAGCTAACATATACAGTGTGATTATTTAAGTGTGCAACATATGGGATAGCACAACCCAAATACAAACAAGGCCAAAAGTTGGTGCATGTCTGATAATCATATTAGGTGCACTTAGAATGGTTGCAAGTCAAACAGCGTACAGGGTGCATTTTCAGTAACAGCAGACACGCTAAATTTCCGAACTGCTTTCGGCGACGACAGTAATAGCAGACGGTCTAGGTTTAGAACGTCTGCTGTTTCTTATCTTCAGCTAACTGTGCATATAACGATAACGTTGTGATATAGTAATTCATTTATTTATTTACAAAAACAGTTGGAGACAGATACAAATTTATACCTAATATAATATCATACGTAAAATGGAGATCAATTTTTTAAACTTATTTTCACCTACCTACGCCTATATTCATATCAACACATTCTTGTAAAGAATGGGGTGCTTTGGACTTTTTTTACCAAGCTTTTCACCTTTCTACTAGCTGAGGAATGTTTCTTGCCGCCCATCGTAGATTTTCATCTAGCTGCACTTGTTGGCTGCACACTTATCATTTTACCTTTTCTTATATACCTTGACGTTTGAATGAAAACAGCTGTTCCATGGTACTTAAAAGAATTATTATGCAACCCTGATATAAGGGAATTATGACTTTCAGCACACTTTTGCCTATTTTTAAGAAACTGGAAATTGCTGGATAAAAGGATATTGGAGCATTACGAATATGTTTCAAGATTTCATCAGAAAATGATTTCCGTTCTTCCTTCAAGTCATTAACTTCTTTTATCGTAGGAACATTGACATTCATAGGACACGCGGAACTTCCACAAGTATAGTCTCTTTGAAGTGGGAGAAATATCTCCGGATTTGGTTTGTCTCCACACGCTATTTCATAAAGCCTGAATTTCATATCAAGGGATAATGTGTTCATACAAGAAAAAAAACTGATCCGTTTGAAACTAAAACTTCACCTCAACATCAGTTTTTGATGTTAAATTACATCTAACGATAGTCTCAAATATCTTATAATTATAAATTATCTGGTAACAAATCCATTTTTTTGCATAAGCTAACATGTAAAAACAGTGAAACACGACTCAGGACGTAGTACGTCTGCTGTAGTGCTGTATCGCCTGTTTCAAGTCGAACCAACCGCGAAGAGTCGGCTGTTACTAAAAATCCGAAAAGAGCCGAACCGTCGCCGGAAGTCTAGCGCGTCTGCTGTTACTGAAAATGCGTACAGGGTAGCTCAAACAATATCAAAATTGTACTGTAAAGTACCCTTATTTTAGAAAATGGAGCAAAATGTCATTGAAAAAGATGTTTGGAATTAAAAGTTATGCCTAAATACCAGAACATGGCCTCATAAGATTTTTTTTTATTTTTTTCGAAAAAAATCTATAATTTCTATATATTTTTTATGTTTTATTTCCGCCCTTAACAGTTTCAAAAAATAATTAAAATCAAATCGATTTTACATACCTAACTTTGTTCAAATTCAAGCATATTTGTAAAATTAACTTAGATTTTTAATTTTTTATGAAATCACAAAATTCATGTTTGTTGCAATGATATTCAACACAACTTTAAAATGTCGCAATTTTTTTTTTTAACAAGTTAAAACATTACTAATGATAATATGCATATTAAAAAAACTCTTCCTAAAGTGCAAAAGTTTTATTTGATTTAAGTAAATATTAGTACAATTTTGATATTTTTTGAGTTACCCTGTATGCTGTTTGACTTGCAACCATTCTAAGTGCACCTAATATGATTATCAGAAATGCACCAACTTTTGGCCTTGTTTGTATTTTAATTGTGCTATTACTAAAAAAAATCCCATATGTTGCACACTTAAATAACCACACTATATAGCTATTTTCAAAGTAGCACAAACAACCGTGTAGAAACTACAATCGGAAATTGACAAAAATCACGACTTTTTTTAGGGTTTTTAATTTTTTTGAGACACTCAGACGGCAGGGCATTACACAAAATTAATTTTTGTTGATTGCTGAGAGTAGTAGCTAACATTTATAGCTATTTTCAGAGTGGCACAAACAACCGCGTAGAGACTACAGGGTGTTTCAAATTCGAGCCACATCATTGGGATCTCGGAAATGGTGGGAGATACAGGGTTGGCTAAATTGGGGCAAAGCTGCGTAATTTGATGCTTAACAGAATGCCGCTTCGATATTTAGGATATCCCGAATACTTCCAGAGATATCCGGAGAAAACCGAAATTTTGCAAAATTGTTTTTATTTTTTCTTGACTTTATTTGAAGAGATATTTGAAAGAAA